GGCTGTAATTTGAATAAAGGAGCCATGACTGACTCAACTTCATATCCCTCACAGTGCCCATTATGATGCTGAGCACAGCAGGTCTTCAGCATTAATCTGTTCAATGAACGCAAAAGTAGGCTGGGAGCATGAGCCATTAGACGACGTACTTGGAATGGCACTTCATCCTAGAACAGGTGGTTCTTATCAACTGACAAGACTTACTATCCTACTTTGCATTTGGTGTGATCTTACTTTTTAAATTTTACTATTAATTATGTTATAGAAAATATTTAAGGTTTGGAAATGATGGTCATGTATGTACATCCTTCTAAGAGCTTAATCATGAAAAAAGGCAAGTCTTGATCGACAAGGTAATAACTGAGGCACCTGCTGGTGGCATCATTCTACTCCCAACCACCTGTACTTTACTCCCCCAACCCCTATCTTTGTAGGTATATCTCCCGGGGCCTGTCAAAGGCACCTCCAAACATTGCTTGGCTCACCGCTGCATTTACTTCTTAGAAGATGTTACTAGACCTTGTCTACTGACAAAAACTACCTCCTGTAACATGAGTGGTATGGGCCATTTTTTAAAAAGAGAATTTCTACTTTCCAATTTAACTGAGGAACACACTGGGTTAAGTGTGTTCTCTTGTTTTAAGCACTACTTTCAGATATTAAATTCTACATTCTCACATTCTTCAAATATCAATACTTTCTCAGGACCAATGAGAAAACTGCCCAGATAGCCAATGCCCGAAATTTTATCACTGACCATGAAGAAATGTACTTGACAGCTATTTTACAAATCATTGCTCATTGGAGGAAAGATATTATATAATTCTAAGTACTGTTATGCATGAAGTATAAATTTATTAAAAGATGAAATCCCAGAATGAACTTTAGAATAGTCTCATCACTGGCCTGTTTTGCTAGGTACAGAAGACTATTTGGATGTTGGAGCATACTGTGAATATTTCATCCACAGAATACAGAGAGCTTTCATTAGAACAAGAGAGAAAAAAACCTATAGTCTGGAGAACAAAAGCTAAGAGTTCCAAGTTTTAGTGGCCATGTTTCCCATAGGGCTATTGAATAAGAAGAGATGGAAAAGAGTAAAATTTTGCTTTATTTAAGCCCAATAGCAATAATCTTGTATGGGTTTCAGAAAAATGATACACATTTTACTGTGGGATAATGAGGACCATTAGTTATTAGAGAGAACAAATTATTGTCTTTCAATTCAACAGACCTACTCATTCACTCATTTAATAAACTATCCTCTATCTAAAATGGCCTTCCCATACAGAACACCTAGTCATGCAACATGCCACCAGACAGACTTCAGGAGGTATCTTGACAGGGAGAAATAGCGAATTTCCAAAGTGAAGCCACACGATAAAGCCAACACTTGATGTTTGCCTTTCAATTCAAGGAAAGCAGTATAAAAGCAATAGAAAAAGAAAAAGGTAGTTGAAAAATATAGTTGCTCTCCACAAAAGAGTCTTAAAAATAAAAACTCATGAACTTAATAATTTTGCTAAATGAAATTATGCCATTATTCTTGATTTCTTTGTACTAACTAAAAGGACAAAGTATCAAACTTCACTAAAGTTTCAACACTGCAATACATTTCATTAATCAAAGATAAAAACTACATTAAAAGCAAGAGAATTATTTTATGTATGTGATTAGGCAGTTGGAAGGCTTATATTTCATGTATACATTTGTACACTTCAACTTATTTAACAGTGTCAGTTCACTAACTGCAGTTTTTTTATACAAAGAAAACAGATTTAGAATTTTAAAAACAAATTACAGTAATTTTATGCCTACAGCTTGCACCTCTTAGAAACCACGCACCCCCTAACACTCCCCTTACTCTCTCACCACTTCCCTATCTCCTCCCTCCTCCTTTCTAAAACCACAGGCTAAGTGAGAACTGATAACAGGGGCCTCAAATTCCCTCATGAAGAACAGCCACTCTAGTTTTCACTTGTGGTGGAGGAATAAAGGATACAGATCAAAATGCAGCTCCCAAATAGGGCAGGGGGCAAATGCCTGCACAGATCTGCCCGGCAAGCTTCAATGTTTTCTGCAGCTATTCATGGTGACTGGCACTTGCTGTCCTGCACTTCATTAGTGTGGACCCTCCTATGAGGAAAGAGGGAGAGATCAAGGACTGCAAGATTTATTACTAACATGGATAGATATGTGGATACCACTGGTGATGGCAGGGGTTGCGGTAGGAGAAGAGGATGAGCAGGGGAGGAGGCGGATTGCACAATGATAACTTCACATGTCTGCAAGTATAAAAACTGCTGTCAAGTGGCAGAAGATAAAAATGAGAAAAAGAAGATAAAAAGGGGGAGCAGCAGCAGCTCCTTGAGGGCTGAGGCCCTTCCAGTAGCTCTCACTGGCTATCTGGCACCAAGAGCTTCCAGGTGATGGGGTGGGAGAGATGGGGACGTGGTTGGACCGTGTACAAACACAGAGGGTTGCCTCTGTAGACTGAGATCGGTCAGTAATAACACGAACCCTCTAAAAATGGAATCCACTAGGCTACTGGCTTTGAAAATAATTTGTGAAAACTGGATTCATAAGGCAGCCACAATTATGATAAAGTCTATCTTTAAGCAAGTCAAAATCTGCCCACTGTGTAATTTATATAAAAAATGATCTTCAATATGACCCCAGAACCGACAAAATCAGTCTGGTCCCCTCTTGGTATGACCGGTCTTGAGACATCTGAGTCAAGATCCGGGCATCAGGCTCTCCACCGGGCAGGTTCCACCACCCTTTACTCTCCAGCTCTTTTGCTGAAATACGAGGTTCCGGAATTCATCTGTTAAACGTCATTCGTGAGACGGGGCTTGTTCCGTCTACCCCTCCTCAGCTCTGGGCCACCGGAAAATCCAAAACCAAAGAAGGAAAGGGCAAGAGTTAGCCTTTGGACCAGGTTATTGATAGTACAAATCTAAAAACTGGGAGATCTAATCTAAAAATCAAATACTTTTGCTCAGGGGTTTTCAGTGGGGATGGGGTGGGGGGACGGTTCACAGTGGGGAGAGGAAGGAGCATGAACAAGATGAAGCTCCTGCGCCCTCACATCCACGCCATCTGACTCCAGGTGGAGGACATCTGCCATAGCCTCTCAGAGCTAAGAAGAGGCAGTGGTTACAAGCACAGGCTTTGGAGTCACAGAGCTGGGTCCCAATCCAATCACAGCCAGCCATTTACTAGCTATGTGACAAGACTAAGTTAGTTACCTCTCTAAGCCTCACCTTCCTTCTCTGTAAAATGGAGTGAATATGACATATTCTCGTGAGGTTGTCGAAAGGATTAAATGCGATAACATATGCAAAGTACTTATTACAGTATCCGAGAGTAAGCACTCAACGCTGAGGAGAGAAAAAAGAAGGAAGCTAAAAAACATTGCGTACTTACACTCCCTCTTCCCAGCTGAGGATTTATAAACATCATCAAATACAACTCAACTTTGAGAATACATTATATGATGACTTGGATAGCAGAATTTTATCTTCCTACGTTTTGCTTACGTAAATGTCAAAAATGAGTTTCCACTTCCAGAGCAGACACTGATGGGATAGCAGAGATGGGGCTGGCAGGGAGGAGCTCAGAAACATAATCAACAGGGGCAGGATGGAAAAATATGTGACTTGCTAATTCATCCGTCCAATCTCAGTCCACAAAAGCACACTGAGCACTAACTATGTGCAAATCTTATGGACTGGAGGAGTATGGACATATTTATGCAGAAGCCTGGCAGGTGGGTGGGATGTGCTACTAACAGCACTCATTGAGCACTCCCTCTGCTCCAGGCCTGTGCAGAGCATCTTACATGTATCATCTTATTGCTCCCTCTGAGCAACTCTAATTTATGACACCAGAAACCGAGGCTTAGACCAAGGTTTAGAGGCTTGCCAAAGCCACAGAGCTTGTGAACAACAGAACCAGCATTTGAATCCAGGTCCCTGTGATGCCAAAGCCCATGTCTTACGCTAGATGTTTCAATGAGAGGAGGGGGAGAATTTTCCATGAAGCAGGGACAGAATAAGCAATGCCATGTTTAGGGGACCCTGAGTACACTGAATAAGAAATAAGGCTAGAAATACAGGTTGGAGCTAGAAAGTATAACTGCCAAAGTTAGAGACTATGAGATGTCAGTGGCATCTGGACTTGACTTATAGATAGTGAGAAGCCATCTAAGGACTTTATTAGGCAGCATTCTAAAAATATTCATCTTTGTGTAAAATAGGATAGAGAGCAGAGACTTTAAAGCAATGTAAGTCTTAATGTGCTGGTTGTCTAGAAATGAAATCATGCCTGGTTATGAATAAAATCCATTTCTAAGCAAGAGATGACAATCTCGTGACACTGCAAAAAGTCAAAGAAACATTGAGGTTTCAGGGTTGGCTGGCACCTCCTGAGAAGATAAAAAATTAGGAATCAGCCAATTCCTAGAAGATAATGGTGAGTCCAGTTTCAGAAGAATTTAAATTAAAGCAAAGGCAAGATACAGGGAACTGAAAACTAAAAGTTAAACCTTTTCACGTTAAAAAGGCTGCGTACTCTCACTTTATATGAAAATACTGTTAAAGACAGAGACAAGATGAATCAATAATCAAGATACTATCAATCTCCTTATTAATGGAAGTTCACTAATTAAAGCTACAACAATGTAAGCTCAGAGACTTATAATGGCACCTAAAATCTTCTCTTCATCCTTTCTTTTGCCTTCCTTCTCTTCTCTCAGCATTTACTGATTGAGTGCCCACTATGGAGCAGGCATGTGGTCACAGAGGTAGCAAGGATGTGGGGTTCATAGTCTATGAAGGGAGACAGACATTAATCAAACAACCACAAAAATAAATGTCCAACTATAAACAAAGAAGTGCTCGACACAGCACCATGCCCATAAACAGGGCTCACAACAGTCAAAGGAGGACCGTGTGTGCTGTTGCTGGGTGAGGGGCTATTTGACTCAGGACGCTTACCTAACCACGTTGCAATGAGGACAGCATCAATTCCGTCTATTGGCTCACAGATCCGAGCCACGACTGGGTGGATCTGCTGGGCCAGGTAGTACTGGGTGTCAATGGTTAAATTGTCCTGTTTCTGCAGCTGCTCAGGTGCATAGGCCCTCTGACTCGCAGTGAGGTTTGACCCATCCTACAAGAGAACATAGTACAGGTAAAATGATAAGAAACTCAATCACACACACTTGCTTGGTCAAAAAGAGAGACAACAATTCAAATTTTATGTATTCAATTTCAAACGCCAAGAAGTCCTTTTGACCTATTGGTGAACAGGTCATATGCATCCAAGAGTAGGAAGATCAAGGAGAACATCTCACTCACTGTCCAAGAATGTAAATCCAGCATGTGTTGTGTTCTATTTTATGTTGAAACATGAAACCAACAAGATGGCACAACTAGATTAAATAATTCCACCTGCCACATCACAGAAACACATTGAGAAGACTTGCTAACAGTTATTCCAGGCAGAAAAGCCTTTTAGGAGTGATGACAAAAGACACGTGTGGTCCTTTTATTATGTTAATATGATCTCTTCATGTAAGAATTCTAGTCATAGTATCCTCTTAAAGACGCTGGGGGTAATATTTTCTATGAGAGATATCTATGTATCACTGAGAAGCAAATGAGCAAGGGGAAAAGAGGGGGAATAAAACCCACAGAGTAGTAACTTACGTACGAGATACAACCGATAGGAGTAAAAATAATAAAGTCTCTTGGTGGAGCCGCAGTGCTCTAGAAGCAAAATATTTGGCCACTGAAATGAAGGGCATGTCATTTTGCACTGTTTTTTTGTTTTTTGTGTTTTTTTTTTTGGTGAGGAAGATCGGCCCTGAGCTAACATCTGCCAATCCTCCTCCTTTTTTTTTTTTTTTTTGCTGAGGAAAACTGGCCCTGGGCTAACATCCATGCACATCTTCCTCCACTTTATATGGGACGCCGCCACAGCATGGCTTGACAAGCGGTGCGTCGGTGCGTGCCCGGGATCCGAACTGGCAAACCCTGGGCCGCTGTAGCAGAATGCAGGCACTTTACCGCTTGTGCCACCAGGCTGGCCCCATTTTGCACTGTTTACCTGGCTCTTCCTCAAGGAAAGGAAGATGGGTCAGAGAGCCTCTTTTCAAGGGCTTCCTCTTTACTCTATAAAAATAAGAGTTGTTAAATTCTATATAATTGGCCCATATACTGCCCTGTGGGTGATGTCACCATCATCTGTGAATCAAAAAGTCATCACTCTACTGGACCAACATCCAACAACTCACTCCACTCTTCCTCTCATCTGCAACAGAATTTAATATTCAGACTAGTAAATTATAACTATTCACAGTGCTCAGCTGCTCTGCAAAACTGATTATAATGTGAATCCTATTCTTTCATTCCTGCTATACTCAGTCCCTTCTCAGCTCAGCGCCCAGCCCAAAGCAGAAGCAACCTTCCACACCACTGTCTTTATCAGAGACTGGAGGCAGGGGCTTCCTTCTCTGGGTAGGCTCCTGATGGAAACAAACTGGGATGTTTATCCACTAGGTTCTACCTGTTCTGAGATATAATGAGGTTGAGTTTAATAACTTTTTAATGGTGAATAAAAATCAAATTTGTAGAGGCAAATATTTTTTTTAAAGGCACTTGATTTTTGTTGTTAGTGCCATCAAGTCGATTCCAACTCTTAGCAACCCTGTGTATAGCAGAGCAGAACACTGGCCGGTCTTTTTGTGCCATCCTCTCACCTTCCAGTGCTATATCAGACAATGCTCCACTGCTATTCACGGCCAATTTTTTCAGAGGTGGCTGGCCAGGTCCTTCTTCCTAGTCTGTGTTAGTCTGGAAGCTCCACTGAAACCTGTCCACCATGGGTGACCCTGCTGGTATTGGAAATACCGGTGGCATAGCTTTCAGCATCACAGCAACACATAGCCACCACAGTGTGACAGCCAACAGATGGGTGGTGTGGTTGTCTCACAGGGAAATGAACCTGGGCTACAGTGGTGAGCAATGACTCTTAAGCACTAGACCACCAGGCACTTGAGTTACTTTCCAATGCATCATTAGAAAATGTTCCCATAGTAAGGCATGTTTTTTAAAAAGCTGTTGAAAATTTCTCAGCATATTCTCAGTTCACAAGGCTTTTATTTTAAATATCTACACAAAAGACTAGTTTTAACAATGACCCAAACATTTTTCTTATTGTATTTTAAAAATCTGATTTCAAACAAGACTAAATTCAGAAGAATTGGTAAGATGACAGGTTTTTCTGTGTTGTACTGGAAGAACAGTTAGGCTGTAACATAAGATATATGTCTCAAAGTCCTAATTCTCAAACCTGAGCACAATCCCATGGTATACGTAATAACATGAGGCATACACTTTAAAAACAGATTAAGAAGCAATGTTGGTCTTCCTTGAAGTGCCCATGTAGTAATTCGTGAACTTCACAAAGTACATACTTCACAGAGACAACCAGGTGCAGTCAATTCACTCAAAACTATGTAGTCACCTTTAGCAGGAAACTAATGGAAAAAAATTTTTAAACAGGTAACAAGTGGGCCCCTTAAAACAATTATGTTAAAGGCATGCTTTACAGACATTATGTCCAATGAAAGTTAAATAATTAAGGATTTAAAACTTAACCAAGTGGAAGTTGATTTAAGATTTCCACAAATAATTCACATAGGTTTTACAAGACTATGAACTACAATATAAATTAGATACCAAAAACATTACTCTCTGAAGTCATCTGAATTTATAGTCTAAATAAATTATCAGTAGAGTACTATTTTCTAAATATAAATTTTAAACAAAACAGAGTCTGTTTAGGAAATAGGCTATTCTTGGAGGGTACCTTTGCTTAGAGCAGTAAATAGTCCTCTTAAAAATGTGTCATCATACATTTTCAAAAACATATTCTAAAAATATGGCTGTGTTATGAAACACAAAGAATAATCCGAGTGCTTAAAAGCAAAAGAGGGAAGCAGCTTTGGCTAGCAAACATGCTGAAAGTGGGCATGTCCCATTGCTAGGGGACAAAAGCAAAGTAAAGCTCTACAGCTTTTCTTGGGATACAGTGAGAAGAATAAATTAATAAAAAGAAACACGAACTGTACTTTTAACAAGCAAATAAGTTAAGGCCCAGCACCAGTGAACGGTGGAAAATATATCAAATTGAATGAATTGTACTACATTAGCATCAGCATTTTGAGCTTTGCGATATCACTAAGACCTCAGAAGAAGAAATCATAAGACCGAATATTTCGTTATTAGATGCTATTTCATGGAACCTATATAATTTTTCAAAGTTGTATGCTGCCCTCTGCTCCTATCATTAATAATCTAAGAGCTTTTCCATGTATGTAAAGACATAAGTGAAAAAAAACTAGCCTATTTACCAAAATCTTTATTTGCATAATATGAAAATTGTTTTTTTGAGATGAGACTTGTCAGAGGCAATATGCAAAGCACATTAAGGGCTTGAGCGAGTCAGACATTTATGGAAATATTTTCCTGCAGGAATTGGCTTTCTGTAACAGTTCTTAATCAAGGGTAACCCTAGGAGGGAGACAGAGTCAAGTGCTGATTCCTGTCCACGTACTTAAATGATTTGTTATGTACATCATCTACAGTACCGAGCAGATATGAGCAGATAACTTTTAAATTTTGAAAAGACTCTTTGATTTAAAAACACATTGATTGTAGTTCAATAAAGATCAATCATATTGCAATGAAGTTTAAGGCTTATCTAAAATGTTTTACTGTAATAGCACAATGCAATAATTAATTAATTAATTAAAAAGAAACAGTCTTAATTCAGATGAATTCTGCCTTTTGGTAAACAGACCACACCATAGTAATTTTAAAGAATTTGGATAGAGGCCATGACTGTTTTTGTTTTTGTTTTTTTACAGGGAGAAGGGATGAAACATCTCCTTTGTTCCAATTGGAGTTAAGTGCTTTCAAATAAAAAAACTGCTCTTCTGTCCTACTCTCTCTCCCCATCTCTAACTCTTAGAGGCACGCTACTCTCAAAAGAAACTAGTTGGTGGTTTAAAACTTTGTTCCAGAAGGCCTAGAGGTTCCTTAGAGGTGCCTCTTGGAATAGGAACAAGGCAAGAAGGTGGATTCTAGGTCCCCTCCACTCAAAAAAAAATAAAAAATAAAACTGGTTAGATAATTTGTGTTTTCTTCATAAGGTATATTTTTAGGATCTCTTACTTTTCTCCATATAATCATGTACTTCATATTTTTTTCAAGTAATTATTTGAACATAAGCTAGGGAAAATGCATTTATGCTCTTATTCTACCAATATTCATAATGGAAACTGTTGCAAAAGGAATGATAAAGGACTACTGCTGGACATTTGAACAAACTTATAGACATTTTCATTAACGTTAATTTAGGGTTGAAACAGTAGCTACTGTTACACACCTGTCTCACCAAAATAATTTCAGTGAACCAAAGCACTAGTCTTAAATGTTTTACGAAAATTATAATAAAATATGCCATACCCCTGACTAATGTTTTTAAATGCTGTAAAACCAACCAGACTAAATCTCTGTATAGCATCAATTACTTGGAAGACTACTAAATAAGACACTGTGGTGATCTGGATTTTACTATGGGTTCTTAGTGGTATCAGAGTCTTATTAATTACAACAGTTTTACCTGACAGATGACATACGACACAGTATCTCCGGCTTTCACCTTTCTGCCTCCTTGAGAATTTATCCAGAGGGCAACATGTACATGAGGTAGGCTTTTTTTATCAGGGTAATCCTGGGGATCCTTTGTCAATGCCTAAAAGAGAAAAAGAGGGAACCAAAAGCCCCAAACATTAAAATAAAACCTTTCTCACACAGACATACACTAAATATATCTCTGCTAGAATCATACCAGCTACATAAACATAAAAATGACAGAAGCTATATGTAGAAAACACTGCCACAGAATCTTTAGACATTCCGTCCTCAAGGCTCCTCTCCCCTGCATTTAGTAACTAATATAACCAGATGCAACCCTGAAAAAAAGAAATACAAGTTTATGGGCCATGGCACATAACACCTGGGTTAAAAAAAATTAAAACTATAAATTCAGTCTTCTATACAGCCTTAGAGTTTCTCCTAATGTTTGCAATTCTCTCACTGAATTAACTGATTAGTTAGGACTGATGGATAACGGCTACTCTGACTTCCTGACCTGTTTCTCAAAGGCTTCTCTAGCCTAAATGAATCCCAAAGGCACCAGAAATCACTGTATTTACTCACACTGTCAACTTAAGCTCTTCAAAGGCAGAATGAGGGAGTTTGTAACTGAAAATAAGCCTCATGAGAGCAGGAACAGATCAGCCTTGCTCACAGCTGCATTCGCAGTGCTCAGAATGATGCTCGGTGTATAGCAGCAACCAAATACTTGCAGAATAAAGCATTTCGCTCACTCTGCAATAATTCACTAAGTTCAAGCACTGTAAAGTACTGCAAGATGAATAAGACAGTCACTGGGTCCTAAGTCATCTGCTACTAGTAGATGACTCCCTATTCCATAAAAAAAAACCTCTAAAATAAGCTACATGTGCCATAAGGGAGATGTGAACACAGTGTTATGGAGAGAGTTTAGAGAGGCAAAGATCACTTTCATCTTAGAGCACAAATCATGGCAGAAAAAAACTTAAGCTGGCACATGAAGGAAAAACAAGATTTTAAGAAAAGGTGACAGGGACAAGAACATTCCAGGAAGAGAAAAAAGCACAAGTTAAAAGCAAGAGGTGAGAAAAAATACAGTCTATTGGACTGGAACTCAATATGCACAAAGGGAAGGAATGGGATATCTAGCTCTGTAAGGGGTGGGTTTCAAAAGACAAGAGGAAGGACAGGGAACAGTGTGCTGTGTGACTAGATCACCTGTTCTCAAAGTGTGATCTGCAGGCCCCTGGGCATTTCTGACACCCTTTCAGGAGGTCATGAGATCAAAACTAGTTTCCTAACAATACTATAGTCATGCTCTGCATAAGGACATTTCAGTCAACGATGGACCACATATAAGATGGTGGTCCCATAAGATTAGTACCATATAGCCTAGATGTGTAGTAGGCTATACCATCTAGGTTTGCATAAGTATACTCTATGATGTTTGCACAACAACGGAATCACCTAACAACGCATCTCTCAGAAGTATCCCCGTCATCAAGCGACGCATGACTGTATTTGCACTGGTGATGCAGAAGCAATGGTCAGCAAAGGTGCTGATGCCTTATAAACAAGAATCAGGGCAGCAGCACCAAACTGTACTAACAGTTATTGTATTATTCACCACCACACGCTCACAGTTAGAAAAAAAAAAGCCAGTTTCACTTAAGAATGTCCTCAATGAAGCGGTAAAAATTATTAATTTTTTAAGCTCTTGACCCTCGAGTATAAGGCTACTATTTTGTGTGACAAAATAGAAGTATGCACAGGGCACATCTACTGTACACTGAAGAACAAAGGTTGCTCGAGGAAAAGCACTTGTGCAATTGTTTGAGCTGCAAGCTAAACTAGCTGCCTTTTCCATAGAACACAATTTTTACTTGAAAGAATGACAGGCCAACTACCGTCATTCTAACTTGGGTATCTGGCAAACAATTTCTCAAAAAAGAACCAAGTGGGCTTGCCACTTCAAGGAAAACAACTGACAGTATATACTGTCTATGATAAAATTCAAGCTTTCAAGCACAAATTAGAATTTTGGCAAACTTGTTTCCACCTCTGTGACCTTGACAGCTTCCCAATACTTAAAGACTTTTCTGATGATATAAGTAGGAACATTTTTAAATGTGATTTTTGATACTGTATAATAAACACATCAATATTTGGCAGATCTGCACAACTCGGTGAGCCAACATTTAATAAATGATCAATGCATAATGTCATGCATGCATAAAATATCCATTTAAAGTATAACAGACCAATAGATGTTAAAGAGTATGAAACGTTCATTGATATGATTTCAGAATCCACATTACAAATAACCTTTAAGAAAACATCACTTAGAGAGTTCTGGTGTACAATCAAAGAAGAATATGCACAATTATCTAAAAAAATTACTGAAATACTTCTCCTTTTTCCAACTACATATTTGTGTGAAACTGGATTTTCTTCCTACACTTCAACCAAAACGACACATCATAATAGACTGGACACACAAGCAGATATGAGAATCCAGATGTCTTCTAGTAAACTAGACATTAAAGAGACTTGCAAAATTGTAAAATGATACCACTCCTCTGGCTATTTTTTCTTTGTTTTGAAATATAGTTATTTTTCATGGAAAAAATGTTATTTTTGGAATCACATGATGGGCTTATTGCTATTTTAAATAAATTAGTAAATGTTTTTAAAATTTTTCAGTTTTGGGCCGGCCCCGTGGCTCAGCGGTTGAGCGTGCACACTCCGTTGCTGGCAGCCCCGGTTCGGATCCCGGGCGCGCACCGACACACTGCTTCTCCGGCCACGCTGAGGCCGAGTCCCACGTACAGCAGTTAGAAGGATGTGCAACTGTGACATACAACTATCTACTGGGGCTTTGGGGGGGGAAATAAACAAATAAAGATTAAAAAATTTTTCAGTTTTAATTTCTAACAGTGAATATCAACATAAACCACATAAACAAAGGCTCTTGGAACCCTCAATTATTTTAAGAGTGTGAAGGTTTGCCAAGACTATGAAACGTGAGAACTGCTGTAGTAGAATAAAGCAGGTCCTCAAAACATGGCTGCACATGCCCACGTCATGTACACTTTCCAAATCATACACTCAGTGTAGAAGAGTGCCTAGGAAATGCTCCAAGTATGTGAATCTCCTCAAAGCTGTATTATGCGAAGTCTTGATTGACTCGGACAGGTAATGCTGTATAGAAATCTTAATCAATATAACTGTACTTAAGAAAACCGTTATCTTCTTCAATTGACTATTCAGTGCAATGTTAAGAAATTCTGAATTTCATCTGACATACTTTCCAATTATTAGATTGGGGCTATTTGGGGATTTTTACAAGCTAGTTTGAGAAGGCTTGATTAAAAAAAAAAAATGCTTCCTGGTGGTTTATGCTCAAGTTAGCCAGGGCTATAAAAATCAGCTTTGAAGTATTTTGTGTTACTTCATGAAATATATTTAAGCTAAGATTGCAGCAGTTCAGAAAATCACACATAGTGTTTTTCAGTTGCTTTTGGCAACAAGGGCTAAAATCTCCACAAGGTAAATCTCACCACTTCACCCCTCCACCCTAGGCTATTCCCATTTTCAAGCCCTATGTGCATCACACACACACACACACCTGCTGTAAGACCATCCACAACCAGTCACATACATAGACTCTTCCATTCTACTCTCTTTTGAAAGCAATAAAATGTAAAAACTGAATTGATCACAAGTTTTAAAAAGTCTAAGTATTCAGATAAATGTTAATCAGGACACATCACCTATGACATATAAACAGCTTACTGTAAACAGACACAGGAATAACTATGATATAGACAGTCCTTTCATCAGAATTTGCTGTACTTACACCAAGACCACAGAAATTCTTTATAAAAAAAAGTGTAAGAACATGAGACAGTAAATATGTTCGATAGACTATTAGCATCTTGCAAATATGGACCATGCTTTGCTTATTCAACTTTATATCCCAGAATATACACGTCAGAGGTACTCTATGTTTGATGAATCGATGATTAAACAAGCAAATGAATTCTTTTAATGCTCACTGAACAACTATTATTTGCCAGCTACTATGCCAAGTGAAATGGAGAATATAAAGGCAGTAAATCAGTTTCAGTTCTGCCACAGAAAAATGTATGCACAGTCCCATCACATTAAGTATTAACTATTATTGTTATTAATAATACTAATATGTCACTATAAGTTGATAATTATTGAAGCTGAGTGATGGATACATAGGAATTCATGATACTATTCTCTCTACTTCTGTATAAGTTTAAAAATTTCAGTAAAAAAAAACTTAAAAATAACAAGACTGTAGACTGTTCATCAGAATCAGAGATTGCCAGTGTGTCTATGACTCCAGGTTTCTTTGTACACTAGTAATAGTGTCATCATTCATGAGAAGATGACGGTGTGGGCCCACTACTCTATAGGACATGTGCTCAGTATTATTTTGCCAATAATGTAGTCATGTTTGGGCTCAGCCTTCCAAATGGAATCCCTTGCAATAGAGGGCCCACATTTCTAAGAAGGTAGACAGTATCAGGGATACAATCTGGAGAATCAGTGCAAAAACTGATCAAAGGAAGACTGAAGTCATGTAAATTTTTGAGAAAGAGACAAAACAAAATCTGAAAGGAAACCACTTTCTAGATGTCACAAGTGATTCCATGCCAATAAGTGTACACTGCATCACTTAAAGTGAAGAGCTAGTGCCAAGGCACATGTCCTCTTATTTATTTCTCCTTTTTCGTATTTTCATCTATAAATGAATGTCTTCTTTTGTGACATTAAAGACATCATGGTCAAGGTGTAGAAAACAAAGAATAAATAAAAATTGTAAGGGGGCCGGCCCCGTGGCATAGCAGTTAAGTGCGTGCACTCCGCTGTTGGCGGCCCGGGGTTCAGATCCCGGGCATGCACTGATGCACCGCCTGTCAGGCCATGCTGCGGCGGCGTTCCATATAAAGTGGAGGAGGATGGGCACAGATGTTAGCCCAGGGCCAGACTTCCTCAGCAAAAAGAGGAGGATTGGCATGGATGTTAGCTCAGGGCTGATCTTCCTCACATACACACACACAAAAATTGTAAGGATATGCATAGAAAATATTCATTCTCTCTAGGAATCAAAAAAATGCAAATTAAATCTACCAGTGAAATATCGTTTCATATCCATTATGGTAGCAATGTTTTATTTAAATATCACCAATGATATTAACACCAACGAAATATCACCAATACAATCAAGTCTGCGGTGAAACTGGCACACACATTCTGTTATTATCAATTGGTATCACCCTTTTAGCAAAGCAATTTGGCAAGAGCCATATAGATATTCATATCTTTTGACTCAAATATTTCACTTCAAGGAACCCAAACTAAGTAATTCATCCAAAAGCAAAAAGATAACTGAACTAAGATATTCAATACAGATATTTACAATAGCAAAAATAATTTAAATAATCAAAAATTTTAAATAAGGTTATAACAGTAAAATAAAATTAACACAATTTTTAAGGTAATACAGAAATGTGGAAAAATCTGTTTATGTTAAGTGAAAACAGATTTCAAAATATATATTGTACTTGCTACAATGTAAAAATGTTTTCAAGAATAAGGAAATATACGAAGTGACAAGCATTATACTAGCATAAGGGTATTATGAATAAGTTTTAATTCTAAAACTTCCATTTAATGTTATCATTAAATTCTTCTTCATTAAAATTCTTTTTTGTATGAGCTTTGACAACGAAATTATTTATCACAAAATGGCTAAAATGGTATTTGCAAAATGAGCTTCTGAATATTTAAGGGTACCTTTTTAAACGGAAAAATACCTGTAACCTTACATGTTGTATTACACAGCACTTTGGAAACCAAGATTTTATTTTTCAAATTAGGTAAGAAAAAATATTCCCTACTTGCAACAACTAAGACTATCCATAAAGCATAACACATAATTTTTTTAAAAAGCACAAGTGCTTTGAATATATAGAAAGTGCTACCATCATCTTAATTCCAAATAACTATGTCCAAAAAAGCCTTCTGATTACAGTATCTCTAAGGATCACCTTCTGTGAAGTTATACACACGCACACGCTCACTCACTCTCTCTCTCTCTAAGCTTACAGGCCTGCCCCCCCAAACAACTATAACTTAGGAAGACTATGAAGAAGGTAATACTCTCTAGTACCTGAAACTTCAACTATATCATTCCATAGAACCTCTGGAAACAAGGCTTCCAGGAATTAAAGTAAGGAATGGAGAGAGAAGGCCCCTGCGGCAGACGTGGCAGTAGCAGTGGCTGGAAGAGCAGGAGCAGTATGCTAATGCTCAATCTGTGAGATAGTTGTTCAACAGCTTTCATCACCAGCTAGAATTTATTTCAATTGCAAGGATGAGGTGGTTCTTCAACTATCTGAAGGAGGAGAAAAACACATGGCAGCAGCTGGGCTCAGCAATAAATGCTACATTTACCTTGTTAATTTCAAACTGGCTCACTGGGACACTGCCATTTAGCACATTTTCTCCAATTTCTATTAACCTCTTCTGAATATTTTCCACTATAGTGTCCCGGCTTTGATCAGAAAGAATCTGGCCAATGACAAAGCTGCAAAAAAAGAGAGATTGATTTTTTAATATCATACTTTATTAGCAAAGGAAAGAAAAGGAAGATAAATGCCATCAGATTAACATGTGGACAAGAGCCGTACTAAAAGCTAACATGAGGGGTGATGTCTAAAAGGCCATTACTATTTGTTTTTTAACATTAACTCTACAAAAGGTTTACCAACGGTTTGCCTTTCAACATACAGACAATTTTTTGTGCGTGTGGCAGCTAATGCTTCATACAAAATGCAGACGGAGAAAGGTATGTGTTCTACTTTATTTTTATGCAATTATAAAATTCACAAGCACTTGACATTCTACCTATAAGTTTAAAATGTTAGAAGACAAATATTTCACTTTCCTCGTAAAGCACCAAGACATTATCTCTGATATCATCAAGATATCATCTCCACCTGAGATGACCATTAGGCTAGGTAAACAGAAATATAAAGTTCTTTATGCAAATTTTTTAAAAACCTAAGATTTCAAACTTTTCTTTCTTCAGCTTCATTATATCACTGTGTTCTCCAACCTTATGCTATCCCTCAAAAAATTCATGTTATTCCACCAGAACCAAAAAAAGAAAAAGAAAAGGAATAAGGAAGCCAATATTTTATCCATTTCTGAAAAAATGCAGAGCGAGGATTTGACAGCTGCATTATAATTTGTCAGAAAAAGAACCCTGACAAAAACATTTGTATAGCTTTAATTACTAATACATTTCTAACTCAGAGAAATTTACTTCTATTATGATGCATCTTTTCTTAGAAAACACAAAGCTGAAGAGAACACTCTAATCGACAGTCTATACAAAGTAGTTTCATCTTCGGGTACGTTTGGGGGCAATGAAGCATTTCAAACTATGTTTCATAAAAGGCTAACAGTGACCTATACTCAGATGATCAACTTTGCCTAATCAAAAGTAGTTTTGCAGAAGCAACAATTGCTCAATCTCCCAACTGGAAAGCAAGAGGAGGACTGGAAAACAAGTAAAAAATGCTGATATTCAGTAATTTTAAAATTAATTTAAAATTTTGCTTTAAAGAAAAAAATTCTATTTTCAGAATTGGTCAAGTTCACAAAAGAGGAATATCTGGAAAGATGGTACATAAAGTACCTAAAGATTCATTTTTTTAAAACGAATCCTTTATAAATTAACGTGACCTTAAAAAAAAGTTTTGTTTTTTTTTTTGTTTTTTTGCCGAGGAAGATTGGTCCTGAGCTAACATCTGTTGCCAATCTTCCTCTTTTTGCTTGAGGAAGATGGTCCCTGAGCTAACATCTGTGCCAGTCTTTCTCTATTCTGTATGTGGGACACCACCACACCATGGCCACCAATGAGTGGTGTAGGTCTGTGCCCGGGAACTGAACTTGGGCCACCAAAGCAGAGCACACCAAACTTAACCACTAGGCCACGGGGTTGGCCCCTCAAAAAACAGTTCTTATTATCACAATCTTCAGTCTTGGATGCAAAGCTAGGGGGTCAGTCATGACATTTATTATTTCTGAGGTACAGTCGGTATTTGAGAACTAGCTCCTAAACTAACCTGACATTAGTAAGAATATTTACACACGAGTGATATAGGTGGGAACAAAGTGTCACCCCATGGTCCACTTTGAATCCCAGAACATTTTAAGCCACAACACGAGGACACCTTAACAATTATGTTCCTAAAGAGGCTCTAGGAAGATTCAGGAGCACAACGCCGGGCACTTTCTAATAAGAACATTAAAGCAAAACAAAACAAAAATAAGCCAACATCAATGAAACCACCTCTGTAAGGATCTAAAATGTGAAGGTTTACCCTCACCATGAGTTAAAACTTATAAGACACGTATCCGACAGCAAGCATCTCTTGCTGAGCAAGTTTGGCTTTTTCGAAGTTCTAGTCTATCTGTAAAATTTCACTCCAAATAAGTAAGAATTGTTAATATGCAATAATAACAAAACAAAAAAGCGTCCTTGTGCTTGGCAGACTCACAGGCATTCTCCACATCATTAATGCTTGAATTTTTTAAAGACAAACAACAAAAGCAAAAATGAAAGCTGAACTTACTTTCCAGTGTCTTTAGCAAGATCACACCAATCTCTTCTAACTATATCCAATCCTTTCAGCTCCTGTTTGGTGAAGTAATTCCCATCCGACGTTGGCTCAACAACCAGAGCAGCATATTTCTTTTTCTTCAGCAGTAACAGAGACTTGAAAACACCATCAATGTCTATTTCCAGCAGTTTGTACAACTTATTTACTTCACTTTTTACCTGTGAAAATTTCAACCATTAATACTAGTTTCTCAAACATCTAACAGGGACAAGACGAACATGCTACAAATTCCCAAGAGTTAATCTAAACAGCGTGTGAAGTCACACAAGACTAGAATGCATTTACTCAGGTTATACAGAACACGATAGTATGTTGAGTATGATGCAAAAACATTGAAAAAGCACAGGGACAAAAACAGATTAAAAAAATAATAAACAGAGATAATAATATAAATATATCATCCCACTCAACCAAAGAACAGAACTGGCAGGGCCAGCTCCTGGAAATTTATGAAATAGATGTTTTTTTTTTAATCTAAAAACTAAATGCATATATACTTACCTTCAAACTACTGAATTAGAGATTAGATAGTCCAACAAGTACATATATGGCCAGAAATAAGTAAGTAAAACTTTGACTATTAAAATAATATCTAAGATCTCCCTGTACCTCCCATAGCACCTTGAATATAAGCAAATAACTATATACTGAACAAATAAATGAAGAGTCACCTGCTCTTTATTGATAGGGTCAAGGCACAGATCATCGCCTCTATGGAAAATACACAGCTTGTCAAGGTCTAACATGAGTACAATATGCCAGGCTTGCTCTCAAGTGAAAACTATAGTTCAAATTTCACACATTCCATGGAGGAAAGGCAGGAAGTTGTTAGTTTGTAAGATGATATCTTAGTTTACATTTATTGGGACAATATCTTAACACAGCAAGTGCTCAAGAAACACTTGCTAATTGTGAACTGCAATTAGGAGCCTACAAATGATTATTTTTAAATGTTCCCTTGACTTTCCAAATATACTTTAAGTACTCCCATAACAATTATAGATGTATATATATGTAAGCATGTATGTATTTATCCATATCTATCAGTGTATAAAATGCATCTGAATACCACTGTGAGAGACATATTTCTCCTTATGAAGGACAATGTGGTAAGTACTAACGTGATCACATCTTAAACTTACCACACTTAAACTGTTTACAAAGGTAAAACACACATAAGGAAAAAACCATTTCCTTTGAATTTTGCCCTCAAAACAAACAACTGGAGTAGAGGTTAAGAAATACAAAAGAGGATGAAGAATTGAAGGTACTAAGCTCACTATTTTCAGAAGCACACACATGCACATATACATGAATTTATGAAGCTTCATGTTAAAAACAATTCACAAAGTATGTAAAACAGATAATTTCATCAAATTATCTCACCTTGTTTCCCAATTTAAATACTTCTTCCAGATTGGTGCTATTCGTGTTTATCATAATTGAATCTGTATCTCCATAAATAACTTCAAGATTCATCTAATGAAAAGCAAAAATTATAAAAATTAACAACAAAAAGACAGTGACCATTATACACAATGAAACTCAAGATTTTCCATACCTCAGAAATTACAGGTTCCATTGATCTTTCAGAAGTTTATGTTTATTCTTGTCCATACTGTCAGGAGTGTACACTCAAAGATTAAGCCCCAATTTACCAGAAAGGCAAGCACTGCCACATTAAGAAAATCTCCCTAATTTTCTTAAAACAAACAGAGTGGAGTGACAGAAGTGTCTAGTTTCAACTGAAACAAAATATGGAACTGAATAATATAAAGGAGAATAAGAGACTAGGAAAGGAGGTCGTATTTACCCAGTGTACGACAAGCTTAGTGGTCATGGCAATTTATGAAGCAGAAACATAATGGGTTTTGAAAATTCAGGGGCACAAATCCATATTAAATTCTTAACAGTTTCAAACAGTATTTAGTAGAATATGAATAGTGCCAAAAAAATCAATCATAACAAACAACACTAGAGCACATGCAGTATAAAGGCCTGGAAGTAAACGCTAATTAGCACTGTTACTAATTTGCTTGAAACACTCACATATAGGCTTCAAGCAGCGGCTAGATCATATCAGTGTTAGCAAAAGAAAAAAGCTATAATCCATTAGGAGGGATTATAAACGTAAACTGGGCATCTAAGAAGCCATTTCCAGCCTGTTTGGGCTACAATTTTCCTTGAATAAAAAGACGTCACCAGGTATGAGATTTAAGAGTCGTTATACGATGAAAATGCTCAGCATTACCTTCTGTACCATCTCTTTCGTATGCATCAAAATCTAAATGAAATAAAAAAGTCCAGATTAATGCATTACATAGCTACAAAACCATAAATGTAAGCACATAGAGATAGGTAACCCAATAATTTGTCATTTCCATATATTTTTAAAGCTCTTGATGGTTTTCTAACTACAACCCTCAAAATAACAATAACATTAACATAATCTAAAAATAAGTTTGCCTCTACGCTGATTCTTATCCAGAGACATGTAAGATGATTTACCCTAAAGATCTATATAAGACCTAAGTAAGCAGATCTATGTAAAGATCTATCTTCAATAAACATGCATAACAAAAATATCCCTTTAGAATATGGCAAAAAGGCAAACTATTCTCGTTACTAATATTTAAATAGAACTGCATAGCTTAAAAAAAAGCTTGACAGAGCATTTCAGATCTGGCAACTCTTACTCATGGTATTTAGGATCTTAACAAGTAAAAAAATATATATACATGCACTAGATGTAAATTTCTTCTCTAGGCTCAATTTCTTGAAGGCAGAGAGTAAATCGATCTTTACTTTACTCCCTGGAGCTAGTACAGTGCCCAGTACAAAGGTGGGGTTCAACGAACATTCAGTGAATGAAGACAAACATATACATAGATAATATCTGGAGATAGGTCTATCCCCTGGCCTGTATAGCTATAAGACTAGAGATACATCGATTATAATGGAGATATAGATAAAAACAGATATAAGTTATCTTGGACCAGCCCAAAAGTAACACATGTTTAACAAATGAAGGCCTCTTAGAAAATAGTAGCAAGAAAATAATTCATTTGTCCCACTAAGTAACAGAGCCAAGATATGAACCTAGGCACTCTGACTCCAGAGCACGGGGCCTTAGTCGCTCCATGCTATTCCCTATCTACCAGCACCCATCTTTTTTTTCTTTCTTTCTTTCTTTTTTCTTTTTGTGAGGAAGACTGGTTCTGAGCTAACATCCATTGCCAATCCTCCTCTTTTTGCTGAGGAAGATTAACCCTGAGCTAACATCTGTGCCCATCTTCCTCTCTTTTGTATATGGGACACCGCCACAGCATGGCTTGATGAGTGGTCTGTCCGTCCGCACCCCGGGATCTGAACCCGCGAACCCTGGGCTGCCAAAGCCGAGTGCGCGAACTTAACCACTACGTCACTAGGCCGGCCCAACAGCACCCATGTTTCAAAGCACCAACCCAAACCAGAAGTTACTTTTCCAACAGGCCAGAGAGATTTACTTCATTCATAATTCTTTTTCGTACTTGCAATAGTCCTCCTTTGACAACTAAGCTCAAACCTCATGGTGTCATTTCCGTCTTTCTCATCCTTTATACTATAGGACCCTACAGTATAGATGCCTTAGAGTATCTTTTACATCCACCCTTTACTTTCCATTTCCACTGCCCCCTCCCCTTGAATACTGTCTCCCAGTGTTGTTCAGGCGCTCACTGTCCTATGTTCTTGGGGAAGGAAGGCCTTCCCCTCTGCTGGGGGTGGTGGGTAGTGGTGAATACTAATTAGGCTAACCAGTGGTTTTAATAGTGGCTGTACAGTGGAATCACCTGGGGATCTTTTAAAAAATACCAATACCTGGCCCCGGTAATTTTTTTAAACAGCTCTCAAGATGATTCTTACATTGTAGCCGCGGTTAAGGACCACTGGACTAAGAACATCATGGTAATCCCATTCTGAAAACAGTTTTTAGTTGACAGTTTGTCCCCTCCCACAAGTAGACCACAAGCTCCTTGAGGTCAGATCTCATGTTTGTGCCTAACTCCAGGCTTCATAGGTATCAGGCACTCAAAAAATTGTTGGCTAGTTGACTGACAGGTCTCATAGGAATCCCAATTACTTTTCTACTAGACTCTAAAATTCAGTTAACTCATAAAAAACATTCCCTCTCCTCCACTTCATCTTCATTTTTTAACATTTAAATTACAGGGATATGCATTATGGGAGAATATCTGACAATTCCTTTGGGTAAAGGGCAATAATGAGATCAACCCAAGTCAAGTTAATCATAGTGAGGACAGAAATACTTACCACGAGTTCTCTTCACTCTCTGCCCCTTCCGCCCTGCAAGGCTTAGCTTTTCTACCACAACAGACAACTCCACAAGGTAACCATTACCTGCTAAGTAAAATACCTCAGGAGCAATCTGCCAGCCTTTCACTGCAACTCCACATATGCAGTAACCAATTCCTTCTCCTCTTCTTTCACACCATGAACCAAACCTACTACGTCATCCCTGAGTGCACCTCCAATGTGACCTGGCAAACTTCACCTTTCAGATCCATCACCCACCCCCATTCTGTCCTGCCACCAACTCACAACCATGTCCACACACAATCTGAGGGCTACTACCAAAACGATTTTCTCTTTGGTGGCAGAAACTTCTTGGTAGATGTCTTGCACGAAAATGGTAGAGAACTAAGCAAACTATAAAGACTATACTGTAACTACTTTTTTCACCTAATACTTTATCTTAGAGATTATTCCATATCCACACATGAAAGGCTACCTTATTCTTTTCCAATGACTATATAGTGTTCCATTGTGTGAACTGATCATGACTTAAAATTTAACTAGTGCTCTATTAATGAACATGTAGGTTGTTTCTAATATTTACCTTTATAATCACACTTCAACAAATAATTCTTATACACACTTAATCTGCCAATCTGCCAGTAAGAAGATAAACTCCTACAAGAGGACTTATGGGTTCAAAGGTTATATGTTTTTAAATTTTTGATAAATATAGCCAAATAGCTCTCCATAGAAGTTGTACCAATTTCTGAGGACAGTTTTAATCACCACTTTTCCAGTGGACCTCAATAGCAGCTGATGAAAATGCTCTGTCTCGGGTTCAAGGTTCTCACCACAGCTCATCAACTCTTTAGTCCATTCTATGAGATAACCCACAACCAGGCTGACCCTGACCTCTCATCCTTCTTCACTCAGCAGTTCTAGACGGCGGGTACCACAGTGCCCTATCCAGACTAATGCATACCCAAGTGCTAATGAGCAGAATCACCTCAAAGCTGCCCTCGACTCAAACTGCTCACTGGGGAGGGGTCAGCTGTTAGATACTCTATGGGCTACCAAATTCTTAGTATCTAGCAGAGGGTCTGGTACAGCATGGCTATTAATGAATATTTGTAGAATGTTGAATGAATAATCCTAAGGAGTAGGCAGTATTATATACCCCATTTTACAGATGAGGAAAACTAGGCTCTGAAATTTTGCCCAAAGTAATAGAGCTAGTCAAGAGCTTGATCTAGAAGCTGGACCTTATGTTTCATTTTCTTTTCATTATGTCTCACTGCTTTGTTAAAAAGCCCATACCACGTGAATGTTCTGGAAGCCAACAATCAAAAACTTATCCATTACAGATATTTTCCCCATTAAGGAAATGCATTTTTTAAAAAAGCCACAGGTATCTAGAAAGGTCTACTGGACACAAGGTACAGTGATTACAAGATGATCGTTCATAAGTTCACTTCAAAGTGACAAGCCAGATATTAAAGCTATCCATTCTAACAGAAAATAATTTTATAAGTGCCAACAGCTAAAAAACAGGGCTATAAAGCCTTGCTAAATTCATTAATAAGGCAGTCTGCAGTTATCTGATTTCACAGCAACACCTGCATATTTATCTACTCATTACCAATTGGATGATGGAATTTTTTCAAGCACATTTCAAAAATCTGCCAACTTCAAGTGTAAAAAAATAAACTTTGTGGTTAATTTTTCCCTTAACAAAGTACAGCTGTTGAGAATAATTGTTCAAGATCTTACCCTGTAATGTCAACTGCAGCAGAACAAAGAGTATTTAATTAGCAAATCTATCCAGTAATTCAACACCTATTATATAAAATGCCTTCGTGATTTTATTCAGGATAATTTGCTAAGAGGGTTATTACTGACATTCAGATGGAATTTAAAATTCCTACGCAAGTCGAGTCATAATAGCAGTAATGATCTCCCCAATCAGGAGATTCGGTGTCACACAAGGCTCTCTTGCAATGCAGCAGCCGATTTCCTGACTTCTTAATTCCTGGGCTCAGCTCAGTGAGAGCCCTTCATGCCGATATTTCAGTCAGCAATACATCTTTAATGGGACTCGATTAAAATAACTAGAACAAAAATGACTTTTTTTTTGGTTAAAAAGAATGACAGCACTGCCATCATATCAATCATTGCAGGCTTTGCAGAACAGTGCCGTTGGGGGAAAAGAGGAGGGGGAAACAGGAAAGAGGTGGGGGTGGGGTACAGAGAGCAATAATTAAAATAATACGAAAAAGTGTTTTAACCCCAACTGGAGCCTCCAAAGGCTGGTGAAGGGTGGTGGGGACTAAAAAGGAAATGTAAAGTGTATTTTAAAAAATCGTTCCCTAAAGAAAATTATTTGTTCAGGAATATACCCACGATGCAGTTTACTAAGCAGAAAAAGAACGTTTGTTACACCAGGGTTAACAACAGCAGCGACCTAAGACCAACTACTGCTGAAGTGTGTATTTACAGGTTCTTCTAACAAGGCCAGGATAAAGCCAGGGTCTTCATTTTTTTTAGAACAGAATACTGGTGTCTTGCAATGCACTCAAAGGTTATAAAATGTTTTTAGGTACTATTACAGACTAAAACAGTGCTTATTAACACTAAATGAGAGAGAGAAAACACCAACTTTCCACAGTTAAAAAAAAGTTTCAAGCTCCTATGCCAAAAGCATGTCTATTACAGTGATATCTGCTAACAAGAAACCCACTTTGGTACATGATGCAGATACTAAACACAACAGAAATCCTACAAGTTAAGAAAATGTTGGGTGAGGTCAAATTCTAAACAAATAATGCATGAAGAGAATGACAAGTGAAATCTCAAGAGCTTTAGGATTCTTCGGTTACTGATGACATAAAATTAGAAACAAACTGGAAAGTTTTTAAAAAAAATACATTAGCATAATAGGGGTAGCAAAATGAATGGTTTTGAAGGATAGGGAAGAGAAAAGTAGAAGAA